CTCCCTCAATGCTTTCCAACCGCGAATGAGCACCACTTAGCCCGGCCAATCGCATGATCGATTCGGTCCCCGCCTGTAATTAGAAACCACCGAAGTGATCAGTTCCTCCACGAACCGGAGCGACCCGCTGTTGGTATGTCTGGCTGCCTGCGATAATATCTGGTCCTGTAACTCGGAGACTCGGTTCCTCCTCAATCCGGGGCGATCAAAGGTTGCGTCTCGCTGCCTGTGATTATATATGATAAACTCTTGTGACTTGTTCTTGTGACTGCTGAATTTTCATGACTAAAATCCCCTCCGACAGTTCTCTCGACTCCCGGCACAGTGCCAAGCAAAGGAACCATACTCGATCTCTCCCACACTTTCACCAGCTCCCCCCACGCCCAGGTCAAGAATGTGGCCGCCCTCCGCCCACACGCACACGCCCACGCCCACATTCTCAAACAAGCACCCTGTACATACATACACGTAAAACATTTGTTCGGGCCCCCACGCCCAACATTGTGAAATGACTTAAAACCCCACCCCCCACCCCCTCATTCCCAAGACCTCTCTTTCAAAAACAGATCCAGAATAAAAATAAATAAAAAAATAAAATCAAGAAAAAAACAAAAATATCACAAGAATAGGAATAAAAAGAAACACCAAGAAGACAACAGCAACAAGACTCGTGATACGCCACAGACACTTAAGTGGCCGCTATGACTTTAATGGGCTCCGCAACACCCACACTCATCTCCTCTCCCTGCTATCCCTCCGTGCACTGACAAATAACAAACTCAAGAGACATGTGCGGGAATATAAGGAGAGTGCGAAAGAGCGACAGAGTGAGAGGGAGAATACGCGAGTGTGATGGTAGCTGATACACAATAAAAATACACTGCGATAGAGTGGAGAGGGAGAGGGAGAGGGAGAGGGAGAATGGGAGAGAAAGAGAAAGGGGTTGAGGGAAATAGGGAAAGGGGAGGGGATAAAGAGAAAGAAAGAAAGAAAGAAAGAAAGAAAGAAAGAGAGAGAGAGAGAAAGAGAGAGAGAGAAGGAAAAATAGAGGAAGGGGGGGAGGGGAAATTCCCGCAACCGGAATACTAGGAACAGTTACTCGTGCCTCCTTTCCTCTCGGGGTCTCCCCGTCATCGCACTCTAGCCAGCTGCTGCTTCGCCTCCAAATCCCCCCTCCCCCCTCCCCCGTCTTTCCTCTTTATCGCCAATTTTTATTTCGTCTATCGTTATCTCCATTCCATTTTATTCGTTTCATTCCTTTTCCTCTTCTCGCTTGGGTACTGTCTTTTGTCCACTCTCTATTTTCGTGCTTCGCAAGGATATAAGAGAAAATGAATAATAGGAAGGACAAACCGGGAAAAACTAGGCACAGCCTTTCCCGGAGATCAAGCCAGACGGCGTCCCGAGCAGGTTCTCGGTACTGTCCTGGCACTTCCCAGATCCAGATCCTCCTCCTCCTCCTCCTCCTTTTCTGCCCTCCTCGTCCTTGACACCTCTTCCCTTATCACTTATCCGTTTTCCCTTCTAACCCTTTTTCACTCCTCTCCCTCCTCCCATCTTCCTTTCCGTCCTACCCCACCCCCCCAACCCATTCGTTTCTCGCTTTCCGTCCTTCCCCACCCCTATCTCTCTGCTCACCCCCCCCCATCCCACCCTCCTCCTTCATACATCCCCTGCACCTCTACCCCTATCCTTCCCGCGGCCTTGCTGTCTGGCCGCTGGCTGGCACACCAAGTTTTCCTCCACGTCACGAACGCCGTCTGCTGCGAGTGTATATGCCTTGGTGCGTTTGTGTGCTTGCCTGCTTGTCTACCTGCCCGTCCGCCTGACTTTCACACTTTTGTCTCTCTCTCTCTCTCTCTCTCTCTCTCTCTCTCTCTCTCTCTCTCTCTCTCTCTCTCTCTCTCTCTCTCTCTCTCTCTCTCTCTCTCTCTCTCTCTCTCTCTCTCTTTCCGCCCTCACAGTGCGTGGTTCAACCCCGGATGAAGCCGAGCCCACACAGAGTGAGGCCAGTCTCTCTCAAGCAGGGCCCACATCGACCCCCATCCCCCTCAGCTGCCCCTGCCTACCCCCCATCCCCACCCCCACCCCAACCTTCTAGGCGGCTACTTCCATCCCCAGGACACAGCAGAGTCCTTAAAGAGCACCATCTCTCACCGCCCCACCACCTTACGCCCGCCGGTGTAGCACATGGTCACGCAGGGGAAGCCGCGCAACTTTTCAAAAAAAAAAAAAAAAAAAAAAAAAAAAAAAAAAAAAAAAAAAAAAAAAAAAAAAACGGCAGTAACCCAAGCTACCTGCACACACGTGAGGAGAAGCCACGCAGGAAGAACGGGAGAGGCGGGGAGACAGATACAAGGAAGACTGAAAGGAAGGGGAGGAATGTTGAGGGTGGAGAGGGCGGACGCACGATTTCAAGGTGGACTAATTATGAAAGCCTTTTCCTGGGAAAATCAGAAAAGTGGGGAAGAGTAGGGGGGGGGGGGGACTCAAGACAGAC